GCCCCCCACTGGGGATCGAGCCTGAAACCTAGGCATGTGCCCTGACCGGGAATCGAACCCCGACCTCCTGGTTCCTAGGCCGACTCTTAACCACGGAGCCACGCCCATTGGGCTTCTCTCTGTGATTTGTGTCCCCTGGCACATCTGAGGCACCTTCAGTGTGCTGTCTCCGGAGCTGAGAGCGCTAGAGGTCATCAAGCAGGGGTTTGGCGCCTCTCTCCACGCTTCCCTCTCAGGCTTCCTGCTGCCCACAGGGACCCTCAGACCACGGTGCTGCGGCGCGGGGGAGCCGCAGACTGTGGCGTAAATGTGTGGGTTTCCCGTTTCTCCCGCTTCCGTGGCCACAGATTCTGCAGCTGTGCATTGGGAACCACGACCTTTTCATGAGGAGGAGGAAGGCCGACTCTTTGGAGGTTCAGCAGATGAAAGCCCAGGCCCGGGAGGAGAAAGCCAGAAAGCAGGTGAGCGAGACCACGTTTGGGCTGCTCTTACACCCCCTCTCCTCCTGAGGTCCTGGCCCTGGAGGGAAGGAGTGGTTACGGGCTGACCGGGGTCCTTTGGTCATGGGTGACGGGTACTCTTTTTTTTATTGATTTCAGAGAGGAAGGGAGAGGGGGAGAGAGAGAGAGACAGACATCAATGATGAGAGAGAATCATGGATCGGCTGCCTCCTGCACGCCCCACACTGGGGATCAAGCCTGCAACCCAGGCCTGTGCCCTGACGGGGAATAGAACCATGACCTCCTGGTTCCTAAGTCGACGCTCAACCACTGAGCCATGCCAGCGGGGCGATGAAGGGGACTCTTATTTGATCTCTTTTGAATCTTTCTTGGCTGCTGCCAGCTGGTGGGGTGTCAGCTCTGCAGTTGAGGAACAAACTCCAGCCGCATATCCGAAGGAAACGTCTCTAGTTATTTCTCCACTCAGGCGAAGTGGGAAGAAATAGCCAAGCCTGCCCGTACCCACCCAGGCATCCATCTCTCACCCGTCTAGTTGAGCTTCCTCTTGCCCGCCCGTCTCCTCTGCCCGGCCGGCTCCTTTTCTAATTAGGTGGTGATGGAATGCATGGCAGTGTTTCCGCGCTGCTGCTGGAATGCTAATTAGCCTCTGGCTGCACTTCCCTCCGGAGGTCAGCCCGGGCGCCCAGCACCCACCCGGCGAGGTGCCGGGAGCGCCAATCAGCAGACAGCAGACGGTCTGATGCTCTGTCCACTGAGCCCATAACCTGTTTCCTGCCCGTAGACCACCTCGACTCCCCGAAATCCACACCCCTGGCCCGGGCCTCGCCGCCGAGCATATTAATTGTGGTTCTGGACGGACTACTAGGCAGAGTAGCAGCAGCTGCGGTCGGATGCCCTGAGGACCCGCAGGCTCGAAGGTGTAATGATTAGTCTTCGCGCAGCTGTCTCTGATGTGGGTCCTCCGGCGCGCCTGGCTCCCCGCCGGCAGCTTCAGCATGAGATGCCCTGTCTGATCCAGTGCTTTCGACTCTCCATCTCTTAGCTTTCCCAGGTGGCGGGCCACCCATGTGCCCCGTGGGATGCTTTGGGGAGAGGGGCGGGTGGAATGGGTTTTGTTGGACGAAGAGAGACTCCTGAGCCAGCACAGGGTCCTAGTGGGAACTTTCAGAAGAAAGGTGACCTCTGGCCCCTTTGTCAGCAGAGCAGAGCGCAGAAGTGAGAGATCTGAGAAGGACAAGGCGGGGACAGGGCCTCTGGGCCGTGGCAGAGAATAGCATGGACACCCCCCCGGACCTCCCCTGCCTGTAGGACGGCAAAGGCCCGTCCCCGGCATCCGGCAACTGCGGGTCGGGGGCTCCAGGGCCCCTGGGCGGACAATGACCTCGGAGCCGGCTGGGAAACTTGGTGTGTGAGGCGAGCGAGTGACCCGACTCGCGGACCTCCGTGTTCTCCTCTGTCGCGTGGAGCTAATGGGACTCCTCGCCTGTCTCCGACCAAAGGACACGGCGAAACCGAAAGGCTGTATCACTTGAACCACTTTGCAGACGGAGGCCCCTCATTATGGGGGTGGGGACCTCGGGGAAGGTGCCGGGCGGGGAATGGAAGGGGACGTTCCGGGCTCTCCTCAAGTGGAGGATAATGGACATGCAGTTACCCGCCTAATGGAAGTCGTGATCTGCTGGAATTAGAGCACAAATTGGCCAGGCTTTCCATGGGCCTGTAAGAGGAAAATTGGAGAAGAGTTGGCAGTATTTTATTGCTTGTCTTTGCATTATTCCTCCGAGGTGCGCTGCGTTTTTCTTTTTTTTTTTTTTTTTTGGTTTAGTATTTAGAAAAAGCAGCGCTCTTAGGAATCTTGCATTTGAGAGACGCTTGAAACAAGAAGTCATTAAATGTTGCTTTAATTATGAAAGGAAATAAAATAGTGCCGTGGTCACTTCTGGCCGCCGCCTCCTGAATTCAGTGCGTACCCTGCCGCAGGCTCACGGAGCACAGCGCTGGTCCAGCGTTGTTTGTTCGCCTGATTAAGCTGAAAAAGCAGCACTCTTAGGAATCTTGCATTTGAGAGACGCTTGAAACAAGAAGTCATTAAATGTTGCTTTAATTATGAAAGGAAATAAAATAGTGCCGTGGTCACTTCTGGCCGCCGCCTCCTGAATTCAGTGCGTACCCTGCCGCAGGCTCACGGAGCACAGCGCTGGTCCAGCGTTGTTTGTTCGCCTGATTAAGCTCGGCATGTGGCCCAATTCCTACCGCGATGCAGGAGGCGAGGGCAGTGGTGGCGGCGGTGCTGGTGCCGTAAGAACGGGTGCTGTGCTCCCGCCTAGCTCCTCCCGGCGCAGGCCTGGCTCAGGAGGTGCCTCAGTGCGGGGCTGTGGGGGCTGTGCTATGGCTGCCGCAGCTCCCCCTGTGAAATACAATGTGTGAGCTATTGATGCATCCCGCAGAACGGTTCCATCTTCTCCGGGGTCCGAGGCGAGAGCGGAGCCATTGTTGATGAAATTAGAGGTGTGGGAGGGGTCTGTGTCGACGAGCAATAGCGAGGTGGCTCATCGACCAGATGAGAGAGCCGCCCGTTTCGGGGGCTCCGTCTCAGGGACAAGGAACCTGCATTGCGTCCCACCAGCCGCAGGGCACGGTGTGTGAGTGCCTCCTCCCACCCAGGTAGACGCCTGCCATGGCTTTTTGTTGGTGGTTTCTTTTTTTTTTTTTTAATATTTTTTTTATTGATTTCAGAGAGGAAGGGAGAGGGAGAGAGACAGAAACATCAATGATGAAAGGGAGTCATTGATCGGCCGCCTCCTGCACTCCCCGCACTGGGGATCGAGCCCGCAACCCGGGGATGTGACCTGACCAGGAATCGAACCCCAACCTCCTGGTTCATAGGTCGACGCTCAACCACTGAGCCATGCGGGCCAGGCTGTTGTTGGTTTCTTTCCCGCTCGATGTTTTCTCAAGGAGCGTAGTTTGCACCCCTGCAGCTGGTTTAGCAGGACAGAGGGTGGTGGGTGACGAGAACCAGAAGTGTCCCCACAGCAGGGACTCTGCACATTGGGTATCCATGGGTTCCCGTGGCACCGCAGGTCGTGAGCCCATGACTCAGTGGCTGCTCTCGTCCCCGTCCACCCCCCAGATGGAGCGGCAGCGCCTCGCCCGAGAGAAGCAGATGCGAGAGGAGGCCGAGCGCACCAGGGACGAGCTGGAGAGGAGGCTGCTGCAGATGAAAGAAGAAGCAACCATGGCCAACGAGGCGCTGGTGATTCCTGGGGGGGGGGTCTGGGTCCCAGGAGGCTGCACGGAGTCCCGCTCGCTTTGCTGGAGTTAGACCTCCCGGGCACCACAAACGAGAGACATCTGCTGTGACATTTCAGCTTAAAAAAAAAAAAATCAGTGCCTTTTCCTTTCCGTGGTGCTGGCAGAGGCAGGTTCAGGTGGTATCTTTGTTGCTGAAAGTATTACAGATGTTCGAAACCCGGTCATCTGTCTGTTTGCTTGTCCCATTGACCCCCTGCACCCCGCCGCCGCCCCTCCCAGGCCTTCACCACTCTGTTGTCTGTGTCCAGGGGCTGTGCATAGATGCAGATAAGTTCTCCGGTTCGTGGGGTACCTTTAAAGCGGGGCTCAGCTTCGGCACGACCGGCCCTGGGGCCAGGTCGTCCTTGGTGGGGTCTGCCTGTCACTGAAGGGCGTTTAGTGGTGTCCCTGGCCTCGATCCATCCGATGCTGGTCGCACCCTCTTACCCCTCATTTGAGACAATCAAAAAGGTCTCCAGACATCGTTAGGTGTCCCCCCGCGGGCAGGGTCTCCCCTGGTTTGGAGCTGATTTAAAGGGAAAGGAGAACGGGGTGAAGTTCCCCCTCCTCCAGCCTCAGTTCCGTGGGGACTCACCGTCAGGCACCTCCGTGTTGCTCCCGCGGGGGGGACCCCACAGGCCCTTCTGAGACGAGGAGGGTGTGGCTTGCCGTCCGTCGCCAGGATGTCGTCCGAGGGGACACTCGGTGGCAGGGCCGCAAGGAGTCCGAGACTCGGGCTCTTGCCGACCCGAGGGCCCGGGCTCCGATCTCGTGGGAGAACAGGCAGGGGATCCCCGCCGGCTCCCGCTCACGGCGCCCTCCTCTCCAGATGCGGTCGGAGGAGACGGCTGACCTGCTGGCGGAAAAGGCCCAAATCACCGAGGAGGAGGCGAAGCTCCTGGCGCAGAAAGCTGCGGAGGCCGAGCAGGAGATGCAGCGCATCAAGGCCACGGCCATCCGGACGGAGGAGGAGAAGCGTGTGATGGAGCAGAAGGTGCTGGAGGCCGAGGTGCTGGCGCTGAAGATGGCCGAGGAGACAGAGA